AGGCTGATCGCAGCCTTAGCTTTGGAGCACCATATCAAGTTCATTGCAGCCTCCAAGGTTGTAATATGAATCCTCAAAGGATGACCTTTAATCGTACTTGTCTCATCAAAGTACAGGAACATATTTAGCTTGTTCTGTTGAAGTATCTTCAGCGAAAGTTCTTCTAAACCAAACTGTTATCTCCTGAGAATGCCAGAGTAGCTGTATTCCTAAAAGCAACAAGCTACAGATCCAGAAGGATCTGATTTTCAGAAATACTTTGAAGGATTGGAGCTACAAATTTCCTGGAAGAAAAAAACCCCCACAACTATTGATAAGACTATCACTCTTTTTTGACTCTCCTTGTTAAAGTTCACCTCCTTTGACTGTGACTGGTGTAATGGTACCAGACGGTCCTGCTGATACCCTGCCTGAATATGTCCTCTCTGCTGGAAATCACTTTTCTCCCTTTCTTGTGGGATCCTGCTTGTTTTACTTTTTACTCTACCTTAAAGTGCCTGTTGTTCACTTAATACACCCATGGTTTTGTCCTCCTCAAGTTCCCACTTTTTTCCTTCTCATCTGTATTGAAAATAGGGAATAAATACTCGTGTAAAAACTCAAGTTCATTACGAGTTCTAGGCAGCTGCTTTGCTTAGCTTTTTTCAAAAGCCATTCTTTATAAGGAGCAAATAAAATCCCAACCAGGTGGCTTGCTTCTGGGAAAACCAGCATCCTTTCGTGGCTGGAAATATCAGAGCCCCATCCCAAAAGGGACCGCAGCCCTGTGCCCGTAAAAGAGACTCCACAGGGGGCAATTGCGGAGATGGATGGGAGCGGGGTGGTTACACAGAGCCCCGTGACTGCTTTATTATCGTGAATAAAACGTTGGGGCTTTTCTTGTCAGGAAACACAGCATAGGTTATATTAGTCAATTAACCCAGTAACCCGGATAGCTGTTTTTCTTTTGCCTGAGAGCCCGTGCTACCGCACGAAAAGGTTTTCCTCAATTCCTCGGGCGGTTTTTCTCGCAGCAGTAACACACTATTCATTTTGGCTTATCCATTACTCAACCTGTATGGATTTAAAGGACCGCTGGTATGAAACACTGCGAAATTCTGCACCGTTCGCTCCTGGATCCGCACCTCTAGTTCTGGGTGCTCTGGGATGAGCAACCTCGGTGGTCTCCCACCCTCTCTGCTGTTTTTCTCTTCCACCATGGACCTTCTGTTGAGTTTGTTTATTGTCAGGTTCTCTTACCGTCTGGTTGCACCAAAACCTTCAGACCTTTTTTCAGCACTTCTCATTCTGTGATTGCTTTAACTTGTGATTTTTTTTTTAATTTTTTTTTTTTTGAAGGAGTTTTTCTACTGATAGCGGGGGGAAAATAATTAATAAAAATCAATGCAAATGAAAGTAGTGTGGGTTCTCACAGTTTGCGGTTACTTAAATATTAAAGGCCTGTGGTGTGTTCCTATATGTGCTTTTTGATGTGTTTTTATTGTAAGCCTGTCAAGCTTTTCCCTTTTAAGATCCTCTTCAGGCCTAAGTGATTTAAAATATTCCCAGGTTGTCCTATTAATTGTGTGATCTAGAAACTGAAGGTTTGCTTGAAAGAGCATTGAGGTTCATTATTTTAAATCTCAGAAAGCCAATCAGTAGGAATGAGAGTAAACCAGGTTCTGGGGTATCTTGACGTTTACCGCTGCTGATTTCTAATGACATGCTCAACATCTTGGCTAGGGAAATAACACAATTTCTCCTTTACAACATAATAAAATCTTTTCATTAAAATTTTGACACACCAAACAAATATAAAAAAATATATACGTGCACAGGTTCAACATGTACAGTGCATGCCTTGGGGGAAACAGTGACATTCTGGAACAATTATTTTTCCAAGTTATTCTGAATTTTGGGGGAGGATTTTGTGATACGACTTGGGCCACAATGGGAACTGGAGTTAGGAAAAGGATGTTCCCTTCGGTATTTGCTGCTTTGATTGTAGCTTGGACCTTTGGCCACTCTTAGGCTGAGAGTCAGCTGCCTTTGGAACAACTCCAAAAGCGATGGATTTCCTCAGCTGGTTCAGAAAACAAACTCAATAACGTTATTGTCAGCGTTGCTTTTCCTACTGCTCGTGTTGCAGCATCCTGCACGTGGGTCTGGGCAATCCCAAGCACACAAGTACAGGCTGGGCAGAGAATGGATTGAGAGCAGCCCTGAGGAGAAGGACTTGGGGGTGCTGGTTGGTGAGAAGCTCAACATTAGCCGGCAATGTGCACTGGCAGCCCAGAAAGCCAACCGTGTCCTGGGCTGCATCCAAAGCAGTGTGGGCAGCAGGTCGAGGGAGGGGATTCTGCCCCTCTGCTCTGCTCTCCTGAGACTCCCCCTGCAGTGCTGCGCTCAGCTCTGGGGTCCCCAACACAAGAAGGACATGGAGCTGTTGTAGCAGGTGCAGAGGAGGCCACGAAGGTGACCGGAGGGCTGGAGCACCTCTGCTATGAAGACAGGCTGAGAGAGTTGGGGCTGTTCAGCCTGGAGAAGAGAAGGCTCTGGGGAGACCTTCTAACAGCCTTCCGGTACCTAAATGGCACGTACAAGAAAGCTGGAGAGGAGCTTTTGACAAGGGCATGGAGTGATAGGACAAGAGGCAATGGCTTTAAACTGAAAGAGGGGAGATTTAGATGAGATTTGAGGAAGAAATTTTTCACTCAGAGTGTGGTGAGGCATTGGAAGAGGTTTCCCAGAGAAGTTGGGGCTGCCGCATCCCTGGAGTTGTTCAAGGCCAGGTTGGATGAGGCTTTGCGCAACCTGGTGTAGTGGAGGGTGTCCCTGCCCATGGCAGGGGGGTTGGAACTAGATGATCTTTGAGATCCCTTCCAACCCAAACCGTTCTGTGATTCAATGTTTCAGAGGCATCTCTGCGTTCGCAACGCTGCTCAGGGTTTTATATCCTGGAGCTACCATTCACTTCAGTAGGGTCATGCTGCCAAATTGCACGTTTGCTTTAGTAGACTAAACTTCCTTCAAAGAGCTAATAGCTTTTAGTTCATAAGTCTCTTGGACATCTTCATCAGGACAGCTTGTTCTTTGATTTTATAGCCATTAAACAAAGCGCTTTATGATAGCTGAAGGGGACAATTGCAGGAACAACAACCCAGCAATCTGTTTCACACTTGCTTTAGTCTGCAATCTGCTGGTGTGCTTTAAATATTCGAAAACTCCTCGCGTTCTTTTCCCCAAGTGTGAGTTACACACAAGTTTGCTTGCAAAGCTCCGTGCAGCTCTGTTGGTGTGAATTTGTTGGGGTTTTTAACTTTGTGACAGTATCTACAATCTGCTCCAAAATGCTTTTATTTTTTTTTGCCTTTTTTCTTCTTTCAAAAATGAAGGAAAACTTTGCCACTTGCCTTTTAAGGCAGTGAAATTTTATATTTTTTTTTCTTAAATGGAGAACACACAGGCTTATATACCCCCCGTAAGCTTAGTTGCATCGCTCCTCGTGCCTTCCTGCCACCTTCCCTGAACCCCAAACTTAGAGAGGCAAAAAAACCCACCCCAAAACTAAAAGGTGATTTGACAAAGAAAAGACTGTAGAAGGTTTATGAGTTCAAACAAATGGTGATGTAATGAGTTTTATCCAAACGAGTCGCACACTGGGTAACAAACATCTTCCTTTTGCCTGGGTGCTACATCCTTGTTCTGCTGTGCTGGACATGGGTTGTTTGGGGCACGACACGTTTTGTGGTGTTTTCTTCAGCGCTTTTTGAGTGCTCTAAGTGATCAGTTAGGGCTTGGAGTGTCTCATTTCCTCGAATTAATGGGGAAATGCGGGTGGTGGTGATGATGGTGGGAAGTGTAGAGGGCATTTGATGGTGCCTCGATCTAGCTTAAAAATAGAGTATAACCAATATTTCTGCAGCTAAGTAGTAATGTTGAATGTGGAAAGCTGCGTACAACAAGTGGTTTTAGGCAGTTGCTGCGCTTAAGGGTAAGACTGCTGGGTTTTCTACATGCTATGCAAAGTGTGTACCTCTCCCCTTCTTAAATAGGGGCACCGAGTCACTTCAGACCCGTTGCTTCTGGGAATTAGAGTTATGGCTTCTGCAGACACTTATAGGTCATGTAAGCTTGCTGTTAGTATTCGAGATTTAGCCGCTGAAGCCAAAAAAGAAGCGTGGCCACAGCTCAGCTGAAATGGAAATGCTGGTTCCAACCCAGCCGTATAGGCAGTGTCTTTTTTTGTGTTAAAAAAAAAAAGGGGGGGGGGGAGCTGCATCATAATACTTAAAAGTGCTTAAGAGTACAATAAAAAGATGTCTCGCGTCAGGCAGGCTTGCAGAGATTTACCCAGGAAAAGGTTTTCTATTTTAATAAAACATATTGCAACAGGGACACGCTTGCTGTTTGATACATTTGCTGCATTCAGAAAGGAGACGAACAATAAAAAAAGATGATTATTCAATAGACGCCTGACAGCGTTTTGCTAGTGCTGTTATAAAAAATATATATATATTCATACAGTAGTTACATACTGCTGCTAGTTTAATTTTTAAATGGTGCCCACAAATCCTATGGAGTCCTGTCACGGCCCCAGACGGGTGATGACAAACAACGAGGGGATCGCAGCTTAAAAAGTGAATAACTGCTTTCTAGAGACTGAAGTAGATGCGTTTTCCCTCACAAACGAGTCAGGCTGAGGCTGTGCGGTGTGGCTTTACTTGCAGTAACTTGTTAAGCTGTACTAATGTGAATATTTACAATTATCTGTCTGTACCCTTAAGCCCATTAAAACACCAAGAGGTTATTTTTTTTGTATTCATTGATATCCCTTCGTATTGGGTAAAACCTCTCAGATACACGTTCGTTTTTTTTTTCATCTTTGTGTTGGAACAATATGATAATAATATTTTTCTGTTTATTAAATTAGCAACTACTCCGTGAGATGCAACAGATGGCAAGTCGGCCCTTCGCCTCCATCAACGTTGCCTTAGAAACAGATGAAGAGCCACCAGATCTCATCGGGGGAAGCATAAAGGTGAGAGCTGGTGCTTTAGGATGGTCCTTACCACAATTAATCATGGACGTGTGTTTTAAAGTGTGGTTAAAGCAGGAATTCCAAATCCCTATTTTTTATATCCCTGTAAGAAACCGTATGTCTGGGAGGTCCAACAGATACTGGGTTTATTTGCTTTTGTTTTTTCAGGTATGCGTTTACAACTCTTGGGCTGGTTTAGAGAAAAGTTATACTCTTTGTAGGGTATGAGATTTTGTGTTTGCCTTGTTAGTTTTTATGTCTCGTAGTAGAGAAGAACGCAGCTTTACACAGTAGAACATTTGGCTAGAAATAGCTATAGGTGCTGCAAATAGAAACCGTTTTTCTGTGATATCTCAAAGCAAACAGGAGTATAATCATGTCTGCCTACTGTAATAGCGTCAGTGGATTTCTGATTATATATATATGGTCAAATACATCTTGTGATGTGCAAATAGGAGCATGGAGAAATCATTGTCTCACACCAGGTTGGCATGTTCTTAGACACGACACGTATTTTTAGGAAAAGCATATTTAAAAGGAAACCAATGAATTAAAAGATCTTTTTGATGTGATGCTTTGACTCACAGACTTGTGTACAAAAAGAAAAGATTAAGAACGTGACAACACTGATTATTTTTCTTTCCTTTCTAAGGTAGCTGTTTTATTTTACTTAGACTTCAGTTTTGTGGAAGCCTTCCTCATTAGTCCAGGTGCAAAGTTTCTCACCTTCTATTGCTGTGACAAGAGAGCAAGTTGTGTTTTTCCATAAAAGAAGTGTATGTTTTAATTATTGTAAAGCACATGAAAACAGTCTGACCCCAGAACTTCTGTTTGGTGTGTACTAACATTTAAATCTTGGCCTTAGTATCAGGAAATGCCCCGATTAAGGTAGCCTGTATAGCTTTAGCTCTTCCTTATTTATTTATGAATATAGTCTTTCACGGTGAGTTGTAGCACTTTTTTCACCTGATTGGTGTCCTGCAGCATCTTCTGGGTGGACACTGTGAGGAAGAAGCTTTTCAATATATTGTCTTAGTTTCGTGATTTGTTCTGATATTTACTGTGTTCCATCCAAACCTTTAGCCCCAGGCTTGAATGATTCCTGTGATTGCCCCACATTGGAGTGTGTCATGAATTATTCATTACCTTTTCTAAAGTAAGGGATTATTGTCCCTGTTTTGCAGAGATGAACCTTAGAGCCTAGTGAAAATAAAGTAAAATTTTCAAAGGCACTCAGTAGTTTGGGGTAATTGAGTGACAGGGCAGCTAAGCTGACCTGTCTCTGGGACCTCTCCTTGGAGGCTCTGAGTGGTTCTGCTCCTCGTTGACTTTCATTTGACTCCAGATTTCTGAGTTTTTATAATTCCTCTACCTCTGTTACAAGAATGGTAGGCACTGGAAGTCATTAGCTGCTAATAGCTCACCGAGACTTTGAAATACATGCTTGTAAAATTGGATTGTCACTCAACAAATTAGAATGAACCTTTTTTTCATTGCGTCATTGAAGAAGCCATGGGATGTGTATGGCTGTTCCCATAGGGCTGGAGGCAGATCTGCAAGAATGTAGCCTGGCTGCTGATGGTTTTGGGATGCAGTCTTTCTGTCTGGGGCAATCCCCTTCCCCTCTTTCCATTTGCTGGAAATAAGCTAACTAAAAGCACCTCTCCTTTTAGAATTAGGTCAGAACAAAGCTGTCCCAAACTTTTTGATCTCATGACAAGTTTGTCTGCACTCATAGACTACACAGAAGATAGTAATCGTTGGGTCTCTTATGTTCTGATTAGTGTGTTATTTCACCTCTCGTTCAGCTGGCAGTGCTTTTTCCTTTTTAATTTGGGCTTTGTTGTTTGCTTTCTCCTCCATAGCTCTCTGCCTTTTGTTTTCTTCTCAGCTTCTTCTTTGATTATAGGAACGTTGAACTCTTCTCTTTTGAGGTGTTTCCATAGACAGCACCGCAGACAGGATTTCATCTTTCTCTCACTTGCAGCTAAGCCTCCTTGTTTTCCCATGTCAGCTGTCATCTTCCATATCTCACTTGTCTGACTTCCTTGGGTTACTCAAGGATGGATAGAGAAGCTGGTTTTAAGCGTAATTAGTAAGACTGTGGACAGATGTCCTTTTTCAGACCCAGAAACTGTTACCAACTGCTAATCGCTTTCTGCACTGGTAACTCATACAAACATTTCTCAGTCCACTTCAGACAAAAATGAGACGCTCTGATTCGGGCAAATAACACAAACCTTGTACGTTAACTGAAGCCAGGTAGGGAACATGGACGTGGACTGTCGTGCCAGCAGGTAACTTCATCTGCTGGAAGATGTGAGTGCAGAACGAGGATGCTTTTCCATGACAAAGAAAGTCATTAGATTTGGAGGGGGTTTATATACTTTTTAATCACCTTTGGAGAATTTGGGTAGGGGATAAAAGTATGCATAAAAGTCTAGAACGTTTCAGCAAAGTTGAAATCACATGGAGAGGGGAGAGAGGCTTGAGGAGCTTGTGGGTTGTGAGCAACTTGGGGAATGACTCTTCTGAGATAGTCTGGCCTGTTGGATGCTACATATAAATGAATTTAAATAGAAGTGCAAAAGCAGTCTCTATTTCTATGAGGTTGACTGTTTTTTCTCCTCATCCCTTTTGCACCTGCATGGGAAAAAAACTGTTGGCAAGATGGAAGATGGGCTTGGGACGATACAGAAATGTGGAAGTGCATTTTTCTTTGCATTTGGTCTGTTCTTTAATTGTTAGCCAAGAAAAGAGGGAAGAGAAATGTTGCTGCGTTGTCGGACTGTAAGCAGTTCTCCGGTTACTCTGCCATTCGCTGGATCAAAATTTGAGAGCCTTCCTTTTAATGCAAGAAATCCAGCCTTGCGTTATCGTAAATGCATTGATGTTTTTCTTTCCCCGTGTGAATCAAAGCCTTTGGTTAATAACGAGTTTATTTGAGGGTTACAGAGGAGAAGTGGAAAATGGGACGTCTTGTCTGCAAGAGATTAATTTCCTTTTCCATTGTGCGTAGCCAATTGGCAGCCAGTGTCAAGCTAGTTCCATCCTAAGCTAATGTTTTCCAGCTGGCCAGTATTAGAACTGTGTTTTCAATTAGTATTTTTCCTGGGGTACTTAGAAGTAATAGAAAGTGATTTACCTGCAGGGAAACTATTCATATGACAGTCTGCAGCTAGGCAACACGTAACTAGCTGCTTTGGTTTATTTCCCACTCAACAAATACCCAGTGGATCGCAAATCTACCGCTAAGTTTCCTTAGTTATTACAAAATCCATTGGCTTTTCTCTGCTGCTTTCTGTGTGTTCCGAGGTGCTGCCTATCGCAATTTTTTTTTTTTTTTCTAAGAATATTTAACATCCCTGGATATCTGGGTCTCATCCAAGTGTCTGAACTGGAATTACTGTCACTCAGGCTTTTTTTTAAAATCTTATTGTCTAATTAATCAAAGTCCTGTGGTCCTCTGCAGTGTTTGTTAGAAGAAGCTTTTCTGAAAGAATATGGAAAATTTGTAATTCTGACATGGATTTCCAGATATCTTGAAGTTGGTAAAAGCGTGAAGTTAACGCTTGTACATTTTTGGGAAAAACACATACACAGCATAGCAAGCAACTGCTTAGCTGGAGCAAAACACCTACAGGGTCAACAAGAAAATTGTTGCATTAGAAAAATTTGTCCTTAAGTCAGGAAAAAAATTGTCTTGGAAGCTTTTAGAGGATTTGAAAAACACTCTTGTAAAACAGTATTTGCCCAGTAGCGCTGGTCCGTAGAGCAGCCTTTGCTGTGCCGTGTTTGGGGATCCAACATGCGCAGCCAGTGTTAAGAGGTGATTATCTTTGCATCCATGATCAACACACTATCCACGTCTATATAGTTGCCTAAATGGAGTGAGAGAAGCATTTGGTGAGCTAAATCCTTCTGAAGTTCATTTAGCGTGTTCTGTACCTTCATGCCGACGTGCGTTTAATTCTGCTGTGTTAGGTTTCTGAGGGCGAAATAGCTTCACTGCAAATCCTTAGTCAGACATCAGCTCACCAAGCTGGCTGGTTCCTCAAAAATAGCAGAAAAAATGATGGAAAATAGAATCTCACTCTAGTAATTAGTTTGCTTTGTTATGGAAGAAAGTGCTGTTGAGTGGTTTAAAGACTGCCAGAAGGTCCCATCTGTTCAAGGAGTGCAGAGATGAAGTGGTGGGCTGATTTAGGAGTGGGCCAAGGGATACCACAGATTTATGTTTTCAGTCTACTTGTATTTCGCATCTGAGCGGTGCCCTTGTGAAATTACCTCTACTTTGCAACGACGTTGCAACGGTCAGTAAGAGGCAGAAAAAGGAGTAATTAGAAGTCGTGTGCCACAGGGCGATGCGTTTGGGGAAGCCACAGGGGTACCACTGTGGTGAGGAATGGTTTGAAATGAAGCATTGTACAGCTCCAGCACTTCTACGGGACGACTTCATCTTAATTTTTACGTGTAGTTCTGTGTTGGGCTATTTCATGCAATGAGAGATGTTCAGTGAAGAACAACTAAGGGCCAAGGAACTGATGGTTTTTACAGCTTTTTATCCTGTTCTGGTTGTCGCTCTTGATGACTCACTTCCCCCCTTACTTGACATGTTATTGACCCGTGATTAGTCCATCAAATTTGCTGATAGACCAGCTTCTGTGACCCCCTTGCAACCCACTTCGCTTAAAATGAGACAGGTTAGCTTAAGCACAGCAAGCATGAAGGATCTCACTTCAACATGCCACCGAGCCGAGATTGGGGGTCCTCATGCAAGCAGGGAGATTGGGAAGGATGGCAGACCTTCAAGGGCAGACCTTCAAAGTAGTCTTAAGTAGAAATGACCAGGCTATTGAGATGCGCTGGCGGAGGATGGAGCAGGTCAAGGTTTTTCAAGGGTGGTTATAAATAAACTGAAAGGGAGAGTCATTCATTATCCTCAAAAGGAGAACAGTTGGAGGAAGGAGATGAAATTGAGGGAGGAAAACATGAACTGA